GAGGGATGCGGGTTCGTCATTTGCTGCCCTCTCTCTCCGTCAATCTCTGCTCCTCCTCCTCCTCCTCCTGGACCCTTTCCTCCCCTTTTCCCTTTTCTTCTCTCCTACTTTTCGTCCCATCTCCTCCCTCTCCTCCTCCTCCTCCTTCTCCTAGTGGACCCTGTCCTCTCCCTTCTTCCTTCTTCCTCTCCCTCCTCCTCATTTTGTTGCCCTCTATCTCCGTCAATTCCTCCTCCTCCTCCTCCTCCTCCTTGACCTTGCCTGTCCTTGTCTCTTTTCTTCTCTCCTAGTTTTCGTGCCTTCTCCTCCCTCTCCTCCTCCTCCTCCTCCTCCTCGTCCTCGACCCTTTCCTCTCCCTTCCCCTCTGTTCCTGCTCCACATTTCCGGTCATCTCATCCCTCTCCTTCTCCTCCTCCTCCTACTACTAGACCCTGCCCTCTCCCTTCTCCCTCCATCCTCTCCGCCCTCCTCATTCGCTGCCATCTTTCTCCCTCAATTCCTCCTCCTCCTCCTCGACCCTTTCCTCCCCCTTCCCCTCTCCTCCTCCACATTTACGGCCGTCTCCTCCCTTTCCTTCTCCTCCTCCGCCTACTAGACCCTGTCCTCTCCCTTCTTCCTCCCTCCACTCCCGCCTCCTCATTCGCTGGACTCTCTCGCTCAATTACTCCTCCTCCTCCTCCTCCTCCTCCTCCTAGCAGTCCCTTTCCTTCCCGGTCCCCCTTCTTCCTTACCGTTCCATTCTCTCCCCTCCGCATTTGCTGCCGTCTGCCTGCGTCAATTCTCCTCCTCCTCCTCCTCCTCCTCCTCCTACCTTCTTTCCCCGAACAGAACGTACGGTCATCGCTGCACCTGGACTGAAAGGTGAGCCACATACGCGGCGCTAATGACCGTACGTTCTATTCGGGTGAAGAGGGGATGTAACCCCTTTCCTCCTCATCCCCCTTTACTGCTCTACTACGGTGGTCTTCGTCGGGCTCTGCCCCTGTCTCGTCTCCTCTCCGCAGGATAACGCACAGGCGGTATTTTGCGCAGGTTAGGCGGCTCCTCTACGATCTTCTTTTGGTCTCTATTCTTATTATTATTTTTTAAAAATCTTCTTTTCGTCTCGTCCTTCCCCTTCATGGCTTTCTCTCTCTCACTCTGTGTCTCTTGTTTATTTTTTATTTTTTTTCAGAATTATTCATATTTTACGAAGCAAAACAAGTTGAGGCCCGGGGGTCCTCACAGTCTACCCGGGGGGAATGCTGATCGGTGGGAGAATTACCCATTTGAGCTTATTATGGAGATCACACACTGCCCCGAAGGGCACTCTCTGTACCCTGCGTCACACACACACACACACACACACACACACACACACACACACACACACACACACATCGAACCCTAAATAAATTTCGAAATGGGGTAAATAACACACATACGCCGCGGGGAGGCCAACCTTCTGATCCCTCCCATTTTCCCTTCCCTCCTCCTCTTCGTCATCCTCTGCCCCTCCCTCCCCTCCCTCCTCCCCTCTCTCCCGTCTCTCCCCTCCCTCCTCCCCTCTCTCCCCTCCTCCCCGCAGGAGAACGCGCAGTCTACCCGATGTTGCAACTGTGCGTTATCCTGCGGGGAGGAGGGGAGAGAGGGAAGAGGGGAGAGAGGGAAGAGGGGAGAGAGGGAAGAGGGGAGAGAGGGAAGAGGGGAGAGAGGGGAGAGAGGGGAGGAGGGGAGAGAGGGGAGGAGGAGAGAGCACGCTATACTGCTCGTCCTTTTTAGGCAGAAGACAAGATCCACGTGACCAAAATTTGCTACTCTGGCAAGTCACTTCATCTTTTTTTTTTTTTTTTTTTTTCCCCGCTTGGGTCACCTCATCTTTTTCCTGCTATCTCACCTCCGTTCCTCCTCTTGATCATCGTCCAGAAACGTCTCTTTTTCTTTTTTCTTCTGTTTTTTTGGTTCTCTCTTTTTGTTTTTTTTGCCCTTTTAATGCGAAACACCAAGCTTCATGGGTTGACGGCACAAAACAAGACATGTCTTGTCCGGGTAATTACGCGTTCCCCTTCTCTGTCTAATCACCGCAGGCCTGCGCGGCTAGCTATCCTTGCTCCCTCCTCTCCCCTCCCCCACCCTCTCTCTCCCTGTCCTTTCGAGGCGATAGTTCAGGACCTCGAATATGAGGAGGAGAGGTCAAGAAGAAGAAGAAGACGAAGAAGAAGAATAATTGAATTGAAGTAGCGAGGCCAGCGCTATGCGTCCATGTCCGGATGATAAGCAGTACAGATCCCACACAGACTTCAACGTGCGTTTCGCCCGGCTGGGCACCAAGGTTGTACTCCATGGCGCCATTCACATCGCAGGATAAAAGTGCCATGGCCAGCTGTCGATATCCCATCCTCTCACATTGCGCGCGCACGCACACACACACAATCACACACACACGCGGGAGAGAGAGAGAGAGAGAGAGAGAGAGAGAGAGAGAGAGAGAGAGAGAGAGAGAGAGAGAGGCCTGCGTGACTGTGCGACGGGATACCGCTCTGCTCTACTGGGACGAGGTCCACTTTGGCCGTCGATTTTCGTTTTGTTCGGTCGGTATCTCTTAATCCATCCCCGTCGGACCTCGTGGCTGGATTTTCTTAGAAAGCCCAAGACGTGACATTCGCGGGGAGAGGGGCTCATTAGGGCCGAGTTGGCCAACAAAATCGTGCCAGTTTTATTTTTTATTCTCTGTGTATTTAGCGGCAGGTCTTGGCATTATCGCATTCAGCAGGATTCGAGCTCTCGATCTGTTTGTTGACAGTTTCAATGCATGTGACATTCAGTTTGGCCATTCAGCCATAAGGCTGGGGAGGTAACCGTCGTGCAACTGGTGGGGCCATGTCCCACCCACTGGCGCGGGTTTAGTTGCGGTATCTAGACCTCTGTGTGCCAGTGTTATCGGGGGGTAATGTGGGTCAAAAAAAAATGGCGGTTATGCCCCCATGTCCCACTGGCGGGGGTTTAGTTCTTGTTTCTAGACCTCTGTGTGCCAGCGTATGGTGTTTATGTGGGTAAAAAAACAATTGGCTATG